TAAAAATATTATATTCAAATTATACTTCTATTTAAAGTTTTTATTAAAATTTCTTTATAATTTAAAAAACATTTAACACTAAAAATAATTTAAAACAAACACGCGCTAAATTTTATTACACTGTCACTTATTTTCTATCCTGAATGAGAAACTTATTTTATTATATATATATATATATATATATATATATATATATATATATATATATATATATATATATATATATATATATATATATATATATATATATATATATATATATATATATATAACTTTATTATCACATTAGAAAAACTTATTATTAGCTTTATATTTTTTCCTAACACTGTTTGTGACGTAACTTGAGTTTCGTAATTCGGAATGAGATGTGATCGGATGCATTAGAAAACAGTTCAATTCTCTATTGCTTGGTGAGATAAAATAATTATTACATGTCAATTATCACTTAGTTTATAGTATTATACTATCATGTATGTTTATGACTTGTCTCCATGTTTTCACCATAAAACGGAAATGATAACTCTAAATGATATGAGGTCGGATATTTTGGAAAGTTAGTCTAATACCTTATCAATTGGTGAGAATAAATCATGCTTGTGACATGATTATTATTTGGGTATTGGTAATGAATTGGTTAGGAATGTTTATAAATCATATTATGATGTATGTTATGAACTATATTATAAATTGGTGTTGTGTTGATTGTGGATATTTTCTGACTATGATTTGCTTGATTGTGTGCATGTATAGTATGATTAAAACTTTATGTTGATGAGTGAGAAAAACCTAGGAGTATAACTAGGAGTATAACTAGGTGTATAAAGTAGAAAGATAACTTAGGCTATGAAAATGACTTAGGTGGCGATGCTTGGATGCGAAGGTACCTTAGTGTGTACCGTGGACGAGTAGCCGCTAGAATTGTAGTATAGTCACGAACTAATATGCATTGTATGGAACATGAGTTAATGTTATGAGACTTGGTGGATGTTATTACCTAGTGATTGATGAGTACAATCACGTTGCGGTCTATGAGCTAGTCATGTATTTGGAAAGAACCTCATTGTCGTATCCGTCCTAAATTGTGATGCTTATTAAAAGTAAGAATTGAGATACATGCACTATTGTTTTACATCAACCAAATATGTTATAGTCTCATAGATAACATGGACCTCAAAGTGGGTTAGAGTCTCATACGAGGGAAAGCATCAAAATGGGTTTGAGTCCCATATGGTGCGATGATTCTCGAAATGGATTGAATTCTCATGGAGAATCCAAAATCTTTAAGGTGGACCTTAAAGTGGGTTAGCGTCTCATACGAGAAAAAAGGCTGAAGTTGGTATTGAGTCCCATATGGAGCGACGATTCTTTAAGTTGGTACGAGTCACATAGAGAATCTGAAATCCACTAAAAAGTCAAAGCATGATACAGGGATCTGTGACTCGTGTCAATAATCTTAGACGTAGAGTTGGTCAAGGAAAGATGCCTTGGCATGATTTTCAGTTAGTGAATTATTTGAGTTGGTGCATTCAATTGTACATGTTTCCATACAATGCGGAAATCCTCTAGATGCTTAAGTCTTTATGATCTTTGTATGACTTAATCTGAGAAATTGACTAGAAACCTTGTAGAGACAAGTGTACCCATATGATAAGGGAACTCAATGAGATTATCATCTCACCCCAATATTATTATTATTTTCATGTGTTATTTGCAATGTAATACAAGAGAAGTGGTTTGTTGATATTTTGAAGGATTTTAACTATTGTGATCTTCCGCTGTGAAATATGTGCAATTGCAGATATTGTACATAGCTCTTAGTTTTTTCTTAGGCACTATTGTACAATATGTGCCATAGATGTATTTGGTTTTGTTTGGACATTATATATAATGATGCCAATAGGCACTTGTGTTGTATCAATACCAATTAATATTACATATAATGTATTTTCTAGATGTATATTATACGGGGTGTTACAATTGGTATTAGAGAAGGTCGATTCTCGTACCAATCTTGAAACATCATAAGTAAATCAATTCATGCCTCATATGTATGTTTAGCCAACATGATTCTTAATAGCACAGTAAGTAATACTGCGTTTGACCAACCTAATTCTATGTGTGTGGTAGGTAGGATCATGGTTGAGCGACCACGAGGACTCTGAAAATTTAGTAGAGCTTATGCTTTGAAGGTATGTTCAAGTCAAAAGTTAGAAAGTAAGGAGAACCAGTGAGCTCGATTAAATTCGAAATGAAAATTTTATCCTAAGTAATATGGAAGTGTAGGGTGGCATATGGTTCAAACAGCCATGCAATGTTAGAGAAGTCTAAATGTTAAGGATTCCTATTAGATGATTTTGTCGAAGTTGAGAAATGCGTGAGTCTGCTAGTAGAACAAGATTGACTCACTAGTATGGGATAAGTGCTACAGGTGATTCCGTACAGTGAGGGAGAAATGATAATTGTGACGCATGTATGCCACAAAGCTCGGAAGCGAGATTATGTACATTTGTCTCATCTCGTAAGGTCACTAGATCATCTTAGGAGAATGAGAGTATGTTTGGAGTGTTAACTTCCAAATGGTTGAACGCTCAAGAGATATTGACATTCAACATTTTCTTGAGGGTTTAAGGTATTGGTGAAGTATACGAAGAGGCTCGAGGATATAACTACCTATTCCAAGTGAAACATGGTTTCACCAGACGAATAATAGAAGATAGACTAAGTGTACCCAGTCTTAGAAGAGAGAGAAAGCATGTTTATATTAAAGGAAATTTTAGCATAATGGTTCTATAATTGGAATTAAGAGAATTGCCTTAAAAGAGAAGCAAACGCAAAGTTTAGGAGCAATGTAAATCTTGCAATACCACGAATGCAATGGGATACATTTTGGACAAAATACATAATGGGATAATTAGGGTTACATTGAGGCTAATATGTAAGAGTGCAACTGATGATTGTTCACATACGAAGATTTCTAGAGTAAGAGGTGAAATGGAGAAAGTTATACCTTGGTATTAAGAAGCATGTGAGAGTAACATTCTGGTCTCATGTATGTGTAATTGGTTACCTTGTTTTGGGATGATTGTGGAGTATCACACTATTTGTTTTAAGCATTGATTTTTGTGTCCTGAGAAGCTTGAGTCCATGGTAAGCAACGGGAGATGAACCAAGTTGTAGTACAAAACTAAATGTGGAACATGAAACGGGCTACGTCGTATGACGAGTCATGATCTAGTGTTGTGATCAGTGGTGGAGGCCCGTTTGTGTTGATGTCGGAGTTGGAGATGGTGGTGATGCCTTCATGTAATTGTTTATGTATCATTTTCATGCATTCATGTATTTTTAAGTTAAGTGGGACTTCGGTCCGTTGACGAGTCCTAATCTAGTGTTGTGATCAATGACGAGTCATGATCTAGTGTTGTGATTATTATGGAGTTCAGGTTCAGTGTTGTAACCATTTATGAGCTCAGGGTTTAATGTTGTAACTCGTGGATGTATTCAACAACATACCTCTGAACTTCCAAACCTTGGTACCACATTCATCGGAGTAGAGTCGAGGTGTCCACTACATACATAATATTGCATTGTGAATAATTGATGTTGATTGGATTATTTTGTGTATCTATTCTTATTGTGTTATACACCGCTAACATATGTTGAATACATTCTCACCCCTGTTTATTTTGTGTGTCTATTTATGTCGTTGATTGGAAATACTCAAGCATATGAGCCTTAATGTCATGTGTGTTGGAGGATGGCCTGAGATGACTGTCTACGTTCTTGTTTAAGTCTGCGTTTGTCTAAATTATGTGAATAATGCTCTGATAGTGTAACACTAGAACATGATTTGTTATATATATCTTTGCAAATTGTTTTAATTATACCTTTCAGTTATGTTAAAGTTGAACTCCTTTTGAGACTTTGAGATGTGTTAATTAGTTAAATGTTTTAATTCCGCTGCGACATTTTATAAGTTAAAATGATTGTTTGGTTGAGAAGTATGTGTGACACCCTAAATGTGATTTTTTTTAAAGTTTATTCGTTGTTCTCTTTTAAATTAAGAGTCGTGATTTTAGGGTGTTACAAAAGACGTCTGAAGCATGTTTCCCATTAAAGCAAGGCCAAGATACATTAAACAACTCCACATAGTTTCGTAACTTGGTTCCAAGATTCAAATTTGCATGCCTCGTTATATGTATCTTGTTCGGTTTTCTAGGCCAAGATAAATTGAACACCTCAATTTCAGGTATATAATTTCAAATTTAAATTTTATTCATTCATATCCTTCACATATTTGAACTTTTGAGTGCTAACTTTGTAAGTTAACCCCTCCTCTAGTATAGTAAAAGCTCATGTCTATCATTATTCATTGCAACTTTTATTCTCTGGTCAATTCTAATTTTATAACAAAACAAATACTATCTCAAACACTCACTTTTATCTAAAGAAACACATAGTCCTTTATTTTAGAAATACATTCCACCTAAAGTGGTAGATCCTTTCTATCCCATATAAAAATAAGTGTGAAATAGAATATTGAACAAAAACATTTCTAGCCTTACTTGTTTAATGAATCATCTCTTACATCACAATTTGAAAAGTGTAAAAGGTGATTGTACTTAATTTGAAAGGTACCAAACAAACAAATCTTATCTTTGTATGTAGTAATTGGATTTGATTGATAATGCTTAATTAATTCTACTATTTTCTTTGACTGTGTTAAATGGCCCATAGAATGACGGATAAAGAAAATAGAATAAATAAAAGAGACGAATAATACTAAAATACGCTCTTACCAAATATTAATAATGATAAAAAAATAATATAAATTATAGAACAAAATTAAAAAAATATATTAAAAATTGAAATTAATGACTGATAAACATATATGATACTAAATTGATTCATAAACTAAAAAAGTATATTCCTACTGCTACCTCTATAAAAAAAACCTATACCTGACTTTGAACAATGAAAATCACATCAAAGAAAAAAGAAAAATGGGATCCGAAGCTCCCATTCAAATCCTCCTTGTATCATACCCAGCACAAGGACACATAAACCCTCTTCTTAGACTAGCAAAGTGTCTTGCAGCAAAGGGCTCTTCTGTCATTTTCATCACAACAGAATATGCCGGCAAAAACATGCGAACCGTTAACAACATCACAGACAAATCAACCACCCCAATTGGCGACGGTTCTCTCACTTTCCACTTCTTTGACGACGGCTTACCAGAAGATGATCCCATCCGATCGAGTCTCAGCGGCTACTCCGAACAGCTTGAACTTGTTGGAAGAAAGTTTCTTTCTGAGTTCATCAAAAATCATGCTGAGTCAAACATACCAGTTTCATGTATCGTAAACAATCCGTTTCTTCCATGGGTTTGTGATGTAGCGACGGACCATGATATTCCGTCTGCTTTGTTATGGATTCAATCCGTTGCTGTTTTCGTAGCTTACTATAACTATTTCCATAAACTGGTACGTTTTCCTACGGATACAGAACCTTATATTGACGTCAAACTCAACTCTTCTTTTGTTCTTAAATACAATGAAATCCCAGATTTTCTACATCCTTATAGTAAATATCAATTTCTAGCGACACTCATCTTAGAACAGTTTAAGAATTTGTCAAAAGTTTTTTGTGTACTGGTGGATACATATGAAGAGCTAGAACATGAATTCATCGAGTACGTTTCAGAAAAATCGATCCTGATGAGACCTATAGGTCCTCTGTTCAACAACCCAAGAATCAAAGATGCTAGTGATATTCGGGGCGATTTTGTTAAGAGAGATGAGTGTAATATTATAGAGTGGCTGAACACGAAAGCAAAAGGCTCTGTGGTTTACGTTTCGTTTGGGACTATTGTGTATCTTGCACAAGAACAAGTGGATGAAATTGCATATGGGCTGTTGGAGTCACAAGTCTCGTTTTTGTGGGTAATGAAACCACCGTCTAAGGAAGCTGGGCGAAAGCCACATGTTTTGCCGGAAGGATTTTTGGAGGAAACAAGTGGGAGAGGAAAAGTGGTGAAATGGGGTCCACAAGAAGAAGTATTATCTAATCCTTCGGTGGGATGTTTCCTGACACATTGTGGTTGGAATTCATCCATGGAAACACTTTCTTTAGGAGTTCCAGTGTTAACGTTTCCGGCATGGGGTGATCAGCCCACAAATGCGAAATTTCTGGTTGATGTTTTTGGAGTTGGGAGTAGGTTGGGTTATAGTCAAATTGAAGATAAATTGGTAACAAGAGATGAAGTGAAGAAATGCTTATTGGAAGCAATGACAGGGGAAAAAGCAGAGGAGTTGAAGCAAAATGCGATTAAGTGGAAGAAGACGGCGGAGGCGGCGGTGGCGGCGGGTGGATCGTCGGATAGGAATCTTGATGAGTTTATGAAAGATATTAAGAAACGTGATCTGTAAAATATTCACAAGATTTAGTGTAGAATTCCAATAATTATTAATGTCTCTTTTGTCTTGTCGCATGTTAATGTTAAATTACTATTTTCGTGAGACATTTGTATGCAAAATGCAAAACGGAACTATGGTCAATGTTTTGTTTCAATAAAAAGAGATCACGTCTCTTCTAGAAGCATAATATAATAAATGTACCATTTACTACTACTAATTTCTTTTTTATTAAAAAATTATTGAATCAATTAAATTAATTAATATAATTGATAATTATGCATAAATATGAAATATAAAGATGTAGATTTGAATCCCCGACATTTTATTTGTTTAAGTTTAAAAATGAATGTAAGCAATTAAATTATTTGAGAGAGAGAGAGGGAATTACATGAGAATGTTATTTTTATGTGAAAACATGAGAATGAATCTGAATCATTAAATTTTAAAAGGCTTACATAACCTGTTGGTCCCTATAAGTTAGCGAGCTTTTAAGTTTAGTTCCGGTAATTTATTTATTTTGGGTCTGAGCCTTTATATCTCCCTTTTGCGTATAATTTAGTTCCTAAAGTCAAAATCCGCAAGAAAATTGGCAGGTTTTCTGCGTATTTTCCTGTGGATTTTGGTTTTAAGACTAAAACGCACGCAAAAAATGAGATATATAGACTCGCATAAAAAAATTACAAGAACTAAACTCAAAAACTCGCTAACTTACATGACTAAAAGTGATTTAAGCAATTTTAAAATAAATGGGGCAGATTATGTGTCATTTCTTTCTCTCTCCTCTATTATTTATTTTAATAATGATGGAGAAAAAAACCCACAGATAATATCCATCATTTATTATAAAATCTAATGGTTCAAATTCATTCTAATATTCTCACATAAAAATGTGTGAGTAGGACACGTGTCATATGAGAATGTTATTTTTATGTGAGAATATGAGAATAACTTCGAACCATTAGATTTTAAAACAAATGGGAGAGATTATTTGTGATTTTTGTTTACCTCACTCCTCAATTATTAAAATAAATGATGCAGAAGAGAAGAAAAAAACTGACACATAATCTCCACCATTTATTTTAAAATTTAATGGTTCAAATTCATTCTCATATTCTCATATAAAAATGACATTCTCATATGATACGTTCTATATATATATATAAAACATACTTTAATGAAAACATTTTATTAGCATTTAAAAACAATTGAATAAGATATAAAGATATTTTTTAACTTAACCAAAAAGTCTTAATTCTAATCAATTTTAAAGACGGAATTTAATCAATTTTGTTGTGTTTATTGTTGTCCTCCGGTTCTATGTGCATAGTGGATATTTAGTTTTAAACAATATTTTAAAAATCAGATTGGAAATCAAACCGGTGAATCATTCGTATTAAGGTTTAATTGGTTCAACTAATTAAACATATGAAATTAAATTTCACATGTGTCACACACAATTATATATTTAGAATTTAATAAAATAAATATTTTAAAAATTCATTACAAACTCAATACAAAAATATCAATAACACATATAATACAACATAGTTGTACAATTAATTTCAACCTTCATTTAAGAATAATTTCAACAAATTAAAAAAATAATATAAAATAAGTTAAACTAATTCAAACCAAAGTTAAAATAATAGAACATAATAACTAAAATAAAATTTAAATAATTAAGAATACCTAAATAAAATAAGATAAAATTAAAAAAATAAACAATACAAAATACTTAATGGAACAACGATAAGGAAATTCAAGTTAAACAATGAGAAACAAGTTATTCTTTTTGTAATTGAGAAACATTCTGAGTTTTGATATTTACATATTACAAATTTTCAAAATAAATAATTGATTTGATGCATTTTTTATACTGGACGAGTTTACAAAACTGACTCCGATTTTTTGGTTCGAACGATTTTAAACGGTTAAATCTGGTTTTTTCGATTTTACTTCGATTTTGACCCACTAGCAGTTTTTAAAGGTTAACCGAACCGAATTTAACTTCAGCTCCCGATCCAACTAGTTGAATCATCCCGTTCATTCCGATTTTTTAAATATTAGTTTTAAGAAAATATTTTATTAATTAATTAATAAAATTGTTAAATATAAATTAAAATTTCAATTAATTTTTCTCTCATTATCTCCTTAATCAATCATTACAGAGGATTTTTTTTTATTCATTTTCTGTAAGATCCTTTTATTATTCTTTATTACAAGATTAATTATTTCTTATCAACTACACAAGTAGAAAATTTAGTAGATCGATAGAATTTTGAGTATTAATTTTTTACTACCAAATTTTGTCAATCTACTAAATTTTCTAGGATGTATTTTGTAACTCCCTATATTCTAAAAGTTGTATAAAAAAGTTTACTCTATAATTCAGGTGTCATCAACGAGAGCCCTTCGACAAAACATAAAATTTTTGAAAACATGCAACGGAAAATAAAACAACATACAACACCTGTCATCATGTTCTCATCTTCACTTAGGATATCATCACAGTGGAATCATATTAAATGTGACAATAAAACATGTTAACTTCGATGTGAGTTATTGTCACTTTACAAGTAAAATATATTCCTAGAAAATTCTACAGCACTTCCGCACACTTCTTGGATGTCTGGGAATGATTAGAACTGCTCTATATAAAGACCAAGTGTTGCAGTGAGAATAGGATATCAAATTATTAATTAATTTAAATCACATCTTTAGTTCACAATCGGTCTTTGATTTATCCGAAGGAAAGGTCAAAGAAAGGAAAAACCCTACTTTTTGCATTGTAAGCAAAGCGGGAGAGATCTAGGTAAGGGGTTGGTTAAGCCTAGGAAAGGTGTTAGCACCCTAAACTTCTGTAGTACTCTACAGGAACCTTTTGTTTTAATGTTTACTATTTTGCTTTAATTATTTGCTTAAGGGTATATGTGTTAAGGGTTAAAGGTTAAAGAGACCTAAGGGTTAGTCCTAAGTTTACTCGGGAAGATTCGCATCTTGTGCCTACGTATCCGAGGTAGGGCATGGAATCAGAGTAATCATAGTTCCCCTCAAAAGGGAGGAAGAGAAACTTCTTGACTATGGTCAAGGTTTCATTGGGGAATAAGCGTTCATATGGAAGCGCTTACGTGGAGTGCGGCGACTCCAATCTCTATGTTGTAAAGAGTTGAAATTAGGGTTAACTAGGTATTCCATGGCGGGAAATCCTAAAACGGAGTGCGGTGACTCCTTGACCTAATGCTAGGGTAAAGGGTAATTCGGTCCACGGCGGGACGCCTAGGCAATTAGGGTTGTGAAATGGTCAAAGGTGAGTACTATTGACTCGGCGGTCAAACACTTAGACCTAATCCTTCGGAAGGGATTCAACGCTAAATAAAATAATGAAAAATAATTAAGCGGCATTGAAAATAACGGGAAATGGCGAAAACAATAAAGGGAATGCACAACGACGATATACTCGCGTAAATTACAACCCAAAAATGAAAATAAAATGCGAAAAGTAAAGGAAATGCAAAGCGACGATATACTCGCGTAAATTACAACCATAAGAAAATAAAATGCGAAACGAAAAATAAAGTACTACAAACTGTACAACCGAGAGAATAATGAATGGAACGACACAAGAATATAGACGAAGCGAAAAAATAAGGTATTACAAACTAAAAAATGTATCTACTTTAAAAAATTTCTAAAAAATGGTTTTAATTCTAAAATACAAATAGTTATAATTTTAATAAAAAAATGGGTTTTGATTAATCTATGGTGTTAATTGAAAATTTGAAGTTTTAATTTTAGTTAGGTTTTAAATTTTAAAAGTTTTAATTAGGGAAAAAATAGCTTGAGTTTTAAATTAAGTCTTAATACAAAATGAATTTCAAATTAAGATTTTTGAAAAATTAAGTTTAAGTTTTAAGTTAAAACAATTTTAATTTTATAATATTTTAATTAGAAAATGGTTTAAATCTAAAAAATAAGAAAAAATTTAATCAACAGATGTTTCAATTAAAAGTTTAAAAGGTGTTTTAAAAATTAAACTAAATTATGAAAACATGGTTATACTGATCTAACTACAATAACTTATTAAATTATAAAATAAAAAATAAAAATGAAATAAAATTAAAATTAAAATAAAATAAGAATTAAAAGAGGGGAGGGGACAGCATTTCACGCTGAACATTGCCACTAGGGTTTTTTTATAACCCTTTATTCCTATTCCTTGAGGTGCGGCGGCTACCTCCATGGGAGGCTCTTCTGAGCTTCCTGATTCGTTGCATGTCTGCGCTTTCTTCTTCTTTGACTCAATTCCTTCCATCTCCATCGCTTACATCTGAGAAAAACGAGAAAAAAATGAGTTATGATGTTCATGGTGGCTTACCGTCTGATAATTTCCGTTGGTAGTGATGGTGAATAGTTTCGTGGCCAATGATGTGAAAAACTGAGGCTCGGTCGTGGTTTGCGGCCGGTTGTGCTAGACTGGCGTCGAAACCTTAAGGTTTCTGCCGCCGCCAATTCGGTGTGCCGGTGATGGTTCTTCTTTTCTTCTCCGATGATGATGAGCTGATGAGATTACTCTCTCGCCTGAGTCGCGATGATTTTCGCCGGTATTTGGTGTTTTTCCCCTTGAAGATTCACGGCTGCCATTGGGTGTTCTTCCAATTTCGTCCCCCCCCCCCTCGAAGAACTTGTTCTGATGTTCTTATATATTCATCTTCATTTTCTTTGATGGGCCTGGACTTACTGATTTTATTACGATTTTAACGCTTGGTTATGCTGAGTTTCAGGAATCTGCGAATTTCACAGGTTTGACTTTTTGACGGCGCAGATCTTGCGGTTTGATTGTTTGTTGCATGATTTGCTAATGACTTTCTGGAAGTTTGTTTGTTGATGTGGAAATGTTGTGATTTTCTGAAATTTGTTATGGTTGTTGCGTGTGGAAATGTTACCTGATCCATCTGGGTCGGAATTTTTTTCTGAAATATTGTTTTAGGCCTTGTTTGGCAGAAATCAATTTT